TATAGGAAAATCAACCCAAAGTAACCCCGCCGGTTCCAGGGATCGATGACAAAGTTGGTGGCATTTGGTGGCATAAACCTTCCAATTGATGCACGGTTGAACTGTTTTGAGCGTAACGGATATATGTGGAACCCAGAAATGTTGAGTACAATCAGTTTCTATAGTTTCCCCGCATTTCCCCGTTAATTGGACCTTGGACCTTTTGCGATTTTTGCTTAAGCATGGAAGTGGCCCCATGAGACCGGCCCCGCATCCCTGTGTATTTGGGGGTTGGAACCTTGGAACATGTGAAGTTGTAAACCTGAACGTCTCATGCCATTATCATTATATACTGCAGAAGGGCTGTGGTGGGTGTCACATGGAGCAAAGACCAAAAAACAGTTTGATGATGGCCTTTTAATCCCAAACTTCAATTATAAAGTTTCGGCATGGCTGTGCACATGTGGAGCGCTTGTACTCAGAGATGTTCACATATATATATGTATACCGAGATCGAGATTTTCTATATATATATATATATAGATTCAATCCTTTGGGGGAAGTCGGTCGTTGAGATGAATCCTTAGGTTTCCGTTATAAGTTATAGGTTTTTCACAAATGGCAAATGCATACTCACACACGAAGTATGGACAAAACAAGCATCAACGATCGACAGTATGATCCATCTTGCACGCATGCCAAATGACCCAAACCCAGATGCACTGCAGATGTCCATACAGTTTGATGCATATGTACCACCATCTTTCTTAGCATCATAGAGTATGTCGAAGGATGCCACACGCAAACCGCTGGCCCTGCAGCATCGACTGAGGTTTCCCTGACCTGCGAAGAACTCCAGAAAGTTGTACTCCTGGAGACGACAACCAGAAACTGGGGAGGAGTGCGTGCCAAACATGAAATCTACTTATGAGCCACTTACACATGACCAGCAATATATATTTGCACAAAAATAATGTCGTTTGATATGCGCTCACTCACAGATGCAAGTGCAATTGCAGCATATGTGCATAAGCGCTGGCCAAGTCTGCGTGCATACATGCATGTCTCACATGTCGGCACACCTCTCCTGACCGGAACTGAACGTGGGCGTCCAAATGATCATCAAAATGCAGAGCCCCAAAACCTCAATGGATCGATCGAATGGAGATTGGTTCGGCGATTGAGCCGTTGAAGCAAGTGAGCCAAGCACTTTTCTTATATATACGCTTTTCATCAACGATCCAATTGGGTCCCTAACCTTCGGACAGTTCAGCTTCCGCAATTGAAAAAACAACTTATCCAGTTGCGGGCTCCCATGTGCAAATCGCATGGCCCAACCCGACTCCCTGGCACGACCAAGGCAGATCAGTGAGTTCGAGCTCTCAAAGGCAGCTCGGGTGACGGCGCGGGCAGTTCGCCATGCCCACATGTATGTACCAGCAAATCACGTTCAAGATCGAGTTCTGACTTCTGAGGCCAATATCAAACAATTAAAGAGCAGTTCAGGACAATTCTTCAAATCATATATACGTCTTGATTTTCATTCTGAATATCCGACCACATTTGGACTATATATATATATATATATATGTTCAGCTGATCTATATATATATATACTACTGTCCACGGAATCCGCTGTTTTGATTGCTGTGTTTTTAAAGCAAACTATATAGTGGTGTTGTGTGGGTCCGACTTAAATTGTTTCATATACCAGATCCTTCCGTTCGATCATCAGAAACTAGCCAGCCGGAGATAACCAAGCCAGCCCCGCGTCCTCTCCGTTTCTGCATCGTCCTTCGCACCTTCCAGACATTTTTCGGCTTCTTGGAAATCGCCATGCGGACCTGCCAGAAGGAGCGATCCATGTGTGGCATTCAAGTTGGGGAAATGTAACAAGAAATTCAATCTTTGGCGCCATGAGTGTTGCCAAAGCAATCCACATGCATGCTATATATTTGCATGTTTCCTGAAAGCACAGGCGCACATATATATATATATATATGAAGACAGGTATAGATAGATAGATAGATAGGTAGATAGATAGATATAGATAGATAGATAGATAGATAGGTAGATAGATAGGTAGATAGATAGATAAATATAGATAGATATAGATATAGATATAGATATATAGTAGATATAGAGATAGATAGATAGAGATATATAGAGATATAGAGAAAGGGATATAGACATAGATATATAGATAGATAGATATATAGATAGATAAGATAGATAGAGAGATTGGGCAAAAAGGTACTTATAAAGTTTCACAACCGTCCATGCAGTGATCTTGCGCACAGGTGACGAGTTACATAGTGATACAATGAAATGTATATCACAAAGATCACCACTCACGACCCCAAGCTCTGCAGATGGATCGAGGCCTTTTTCACCCATCCACCCAGCTCGCGAGATCTTGCGAGGTATTGCAGTTAACTCTAAATTGCAGCCAGTTTCGTGGCTGCCCCACAGTAACATGATGACCCACACAGCCCCTGCAAAGCGTCATCAGTCATGGTACATATGAAGCATATAAACAAATTAAACATCGAAAGAAAAAGAACGATGAATATATAGATAGATTGTCGAGCTGTGTTCAGAATCAACGGGATTCAAGAAGGTTTCCATTTGTATAGTTTTTTTCCCCATGAGCTTTGCGCGGGCCATCATATACAGGACCCTGAGCCCTACATTTTGTTTGCAGCCAAGAACAACACAAGCTGCGCATTGTGTTTCAGTTTCTCCGTCAGCGGTCCATCCTTCCTGTAGTCGAGACCTTTGTCCAATCCCTGGGCCTCGGATGCGGATCACAAAATTCCGAAGCAGTCTATTTTATGCACGGTTTGACGTTTCAAGGTTTATAGCATGCAGCACTTAAACTGAACTTTCCCAAATTTATAGATTCCACATCTTAAGTGCAAGAAGCTTTATATGAACAAAGTGCAACGTAACCTTTCAACAATATGTTCAAAAACCTTGGTTTGTTTTAACTGCGCTGAGTGACTGCAATGATCGCACATTTGATTGATACTGCCATCTTTTGCGCATCAGTTGCCGATGATTGATTGAAACTGAAATGCAAGATATCTTTGCCAGTCTCGAGCTTTGTGATACCTACATTGCCCCTGGTCCAGTAGATATTGTCGAGGGAATGCTTTTCAAGGTCAGGAATGAGGCTGCGAGCAAAGCTCTTGAACCTTTTGTCTTGCACCTTCTCATAGGGCTCAAAACGGTCAAGAAAGTTTGAGATGTCGGTGAACTGTTCACTCGAGAACTTTGAGTCGCTCCTGAATTCCTCAGCTACCTCTTCAGGGCCCTTTTGCGATTGGGCCTTTGCCCTCGCCTTGCCTTTCGCCTTGGGCTTTGCTTTAGCTTTGGGTTTAGATTTCCCTTTTGGCTTCGCTCTGCCTTTCGGCTCCGGTGTGCCCGTTGCACCTGATGTTTTGCGTGTTCTGCCCTTCCTATCTGTGGAAGATCCCGAGGGTATCTTTTTTTTTCGGCACTTCCTTTCCATCGGTTCCTCTCGATCCTCAGGTGCCTCATCTGCGTCTTCAGTAATTGATTGGACCTTCCTCTTTGTGGGGCTGGCACGAAGGATGTTCAAACCTCGACTTCTACTTCGCTTCAATCTCTCAGCCTTGCACACCTTCTTTCCCTTTCCTTTTTTGCATTTCTTTTTCTTGCCTCCTTTCTTCTTGCGTGATGCTTTGGACTTTGCTTTCATTTCCAGCTGTTCATTTCTCGTGACGTAATCCTTTCCACTTTTTCCTGGCTCTGTCTCACCAGCACCAGCCTTTGCAGAGTCCATACCCGAAGTTGCCTGAGAGACGGTGCTGGTGCAAGGATTGAACATTTGTGAACACACATGCATCGATCAGATAACGCATCACTGCACATGGTCCAGAGCGACAACTATATGTCATTGTAAGATATCAGGTATCGAATTGATGTTAATTATACAAATTGAAATGACTTGTTATATATATAGATCCCGTTTCCTTCAGCCGATCTTTAAAGCACTCTGAATCGTATATCAAAGCTGCCAATGGTGTTTCTGAACCAGGAGATTCTCGCTTAGCCTTCTTGGATTGAAAGTCGGCTCGGATCTTAGAAGAAGGAACTTGAGGGGAATCTGATGGCAACAAGGAGTCTCCCACAGGCTGAGCCATGATGTCATGCAGAGGCTGAGTCTCCACAGCATCAGTGGCAATGCCAATCGGTGGGAGGGCTGCTATGCCTGACACATGGTGTGATTTTATGTTATATACATGAAATTGTTCGTTATATATACTTTGGAGAGCCGATCATGTTTTCAAAATTGTTTCACGTGTGTAAATCTGAGCAGAGCCATCAGTTTTGTGCATATATGTCGATATAAAAGTGGCACACGCAGATGTATAAATGCATCTGTGCTGTATATATAGAGACTTTGCTCATGCATGTCCATGCCTGCTGGCCCACGGGGTGTATCTAAGGATTCCGACTTCATCTTCCTCATTTCCTGGTGAATCTTGGCCTTCTTCGCTTGGAGCCTTTTGCATGGACAAGGAGAGAGGGCAAGTGGGTGGGGGGAATGTTGTGCATGAACATATTTGCAAATTTAACAACCATCGTTCCGAACGTGTTGAAGATATCCACATGCACATGGATCTCTATATAGGGTCGAACGGCTATATTGAAGTAAATATATATGTGTGCATTAAATTGAATGGGATGGATGGATTTCATAAAGACTCAGGCCCCTACTCTTCCAACCTTTTTCGGGCTTCCATCAACTGTTCCAACCGTTTCTTTTGGGCATCCAATGCCAAATCCACTCCGGTGCCTAGGTTGCTGAATCAACAGAAAATCAAATGCATGGACATGCGTTATTGTTCACTGCATTCACAGTTTAGATAGAAATTGACTCACAGTATCTAACAGTCCCAGATCCCCCTGAGCCCAATGCTCAGGACCTCCACCTCCACGGCCTTTCCTTGAGAAGGAGGAGAGGCTGGCACTGATCCTGGGCCGGGGTGAGGAGTAGAAGCACTCTGAGCACTGGTTGGGATATCAGCTCCAATGACTTCTTCACCAGAGTTTGACTCGTCATCAGAACCACCAGATTCAGAACCTTTGTCAGAATCATCATAGGCATCATCGTCAGCAGTTTGCTGATGATTGGCCTGCATGGGCTTGAGATCACACGATACATTTGACATATACTTTGCATACCATGCAGCTTAAAAGTCTATATACCAAATGTCAAAGTCCATGCCTTTGAAATCTGTTATATTCCACTCTGAAACATTCGTGAGGACTTTTGAGCCTGACGATCCAACTTGCGCTGACGTCTCTCCTCCACTTTCTTATTGACCATCTCACATACATCCTGCGCTGAACCCGACGGTTGACAGGAAACCCGCCTTTTGCATAAATTGTGTATGATGGACCATGTGTTTATGGCGCGGTATATTTGTTCAGATCGAAAGTATGGAGGCAAGCTGTGAGAAGTGGACATGTATTTATATACCAAACATAATCATTCAGAAAAAGGTACATAGATTACAGTGATGCAAACACTTGCCCAATCCACCATGTGACCCTGTCCTTCAAATTTGCATTCAGAATCAAGCATAGTTCCTGGAACTTTGGATCCTTAGATTATATCCAGCGACTTCAAACTGTTGTATATATGGCTACGGCGCGATTGCAAACATGCTAGCTGCGTATATAATCCAAATGAAATATGCATAAGACTTCAAGACCTGGAGACCTCGATTGGACTTTTGAAATAAGATTCAAACGCAGAAGAAGTTCCAGCAAACAAAAAATTGATATAATTATATAAGGCTAGGTACTTCACTGACCTTTCTTTTTCGGACCTTCATCTTCACCAGCCCAATGAACTTGCGAACCCACCATGAATCTGCAACGATCTGATCTTCACCGATGCCAGTCCGGCCGCATCTCTGATAGAGCTGCTCGAGCTGCTCTCGAAGAGGATGGATCGGGGGTGGGGGCATGCCATCAGTTTCAACTGTTTTCTGTAACGCGATCTTCAAAAGGGCATGGACATGTGGAACACATGCGTCTTTCACTGTCTCTTTGGTCTTTTCTTTGAACAAAACTTGAAGATCGCCATCCGCTGTGCTACGTAGATGGTCTCTGATGGCCTGTTCCGTCTCCCAGAGAACACCCAAATTAGAGACATCCATCTTGACCTTCTCCTGGTCCTCCGCCATGGCTCGAGGCATCACCAAGGCGATTGAAAATCTGAGCAAAATGCTTCTATTTATAGAGAGATCATGAAGGTTGTTGGCAACCAATCCCAATCGATGCAACACCAATCATAGCACGGCCCTTTGAGGCACACATTTGGCTTTTGTTTGTATGAACGTGTGTATGCCACATCTCGATCGAGATACATAAACCCCAAAAGCAAACCACGCTGCACGCGCAGGACGGAGCCTTCGCATGATGTGAGAGTGGCGTTGGCCATGGCACCGGTGCATCGGGGGATCCACATCCTTTGTATTGTCTGGCATATGTTGTTTGATGTTCTTTATATATGGTCAAATGATGTTGCACCGCCTTCTGGCGGAATGAATGGTCTTGACTTATAATTGCATGCATGTGCTTTCGACTATATATGCAGAAAAGGCAGACCCCGGCGCCCGGCCACCAGACCAGATCGGTCTTTGATGCTCGATCGAACGTGGCGAAACACCGTGCGCCTGGCGGCAGGATGGACCTTGGATAATCTTGGATTCATATATATATTCATGCATGGAAGAATATATATAGACGTTGTCAAGATGCATCAAAGAGCATGTTAAACATGAATATCATGGATATATAGCATATTTATAGGTTTTGACTGAAAACCTAGGTTTTTCATCAATGTGTCAGGAAAGCCGAGTTCTCATTTGAGAACCGAACAATAGTTAGGTTCTAGGTTCTGATGGTA